AAACATTTGCACCCTGATGAAGGATTATTAGTTAATACAGTGCAACTCTTGTATACATAAACTACCCGACCATATCAGCTCTAGCTCAAAAAAGCCCTCGTCTTAAAATCTCACTCTTGATTACTCGTGCACATCTGCCATCCACTTGGAAGATTAGAAGACATCAGGCTCTCCATTTACACATTCACACATCAGAAGTGCCCAAGCAGCACAGACACCTTAACTAAGAGTCCTTGCAAACACTTCTGCCCACCCCTCCCCCTCCCTCTCCTCTCCCTCCTTTTTCCCCCAGTCACATCAGCTTGCACACCCACGGTCAATCCTTTCAACTTCCAGGTAGCAGCACAATTCCTGCAAGAATGTAACTAGAATTAAAGCTTTTCAGAAGGCACCGTTCATGCTCTGTGCAGTAAACACGCACAAGAGAATCCTGTATTCATTCTAATGTTCCCTAAACAGGCATTGGTGTCCTGCTTATGTAAGAACGCTTGCAGGACTTCACATCAGAACTGTAGGCAGCACTTCAGTTTTCAGTCAACTCACCAGCAAGAGAAGCAGAGCCTCCCATGAGAACCCAGAACAAAAACAAACTTTGCACCTCTCCTTCAACAAAATTATAAAGGGAGTAATTTTATTTCACAAGCCCTTTCTCCTACTAGAGATTTTAATGAACTAATGAGCATGTGGCAGAATTTCAGCTGTGCTTTTAGCACCTGGAGATCCACAACAACAACATTAACTCTGCAAAATCAATTTTTAAAAATTATCATAGCTTATAAACTTGTCAAATGTTAGACAGCAACTCAGATACCTCCTCTGGAGATGAACACATTGCCTTCCCTATAACTAACAGTCAGCTAGGCAGCATTTCCCTTGAGGTTCAATATACAGCATTATGTCCTACCAAACTACACCAACCAAATTCTCCCAGTGGAAAATAATTTCAGCAGCTCCATAACCTGCTGGCTTTTGCACTATGCCATGCCATGGTAAATTAAAGACTTTGTCTGTTCTACAAGTAATTCTTTCAAATCTTGAGGCATTTGACTTAAGCACCAATTAGACCACATCCTTCTTTCCCTGGTGTATGTGCACACACCGTTACAGCCAAAAACTCTTTTGCACCTCAAGACCTGAAATCCCTTGATGAGGTTCTGCACACCACCTCCTTCCCAAACACAGCACTTTGGTTTTCCCAGTGCCTACATTTCATTCCCTGAGTTGAAATGCCAGTTTCTTGACTTCCTCCCCCCTTCTACCATGGCACAAGAAATTAAGTGTGATTGCTAATTTCACAGCAGGACACATTTCATAAAGAACTGGGAGGGAAGGAGGGAGAGAAAAAGCATGTAAAAATAGTTCAGAGATCTGTCATTGAGCAACCTAGTTAAATAGTTACAGGTAACATCAAGAGAGCTTCTGGCTCCTAAACCAAGTACTTCAACAGTAGGGTTGTGAGCGATAAAGAAAGCCTTCCTAGTCAGCATATACTAACTGAAGATTTCAGGCTAGTTAGCATTACTTCACACAAAGTAGAACCTGTGACTTTAAAGCTCAGTATTTATTTTAGTGGCTTCTTGCCCGAGTGGCAGAGCTGCTAAGAACTTCAGTGTCCAAATCTGAACAGTTTACTAATGAGTCAAACGTGATTAACCAGGATATCTTAAGAGACACCTGACCATGAGATAAGCCTTTGCATTTTCAGGTTAGCTCCCAGGTATGCATATTTTGTCTACTTAATATTTGCTATTCCAGTCCTCTGAATATTAAGGCCAATGGAAATCCAGTGAATACTGACACTTGCCAGGGATTTAATAACAGTCATTTCAGGCACATCTAACCAGACTTAGACTCCTGAATACCTTGAAGAAGAAATGAGTTACATTACATTATTTCATGTATTAGTAATTCTTAACTGATACTTTTAACCCACCCCAACTATGTTTAGTGTCTCTCTTTCAGGTTTGAACTTTTATTTTTTTTTTATTACCTCAAGCAATAGTCAAACTTCAGCTCGTTATTTAGTACTGTTGAACACAACTGGGATAGAACAGCTCAGCCACGTCTGAACTTGAACTAATGCTATATGTACTCTCCCTCTTCTGCAAGACTCTGGTAACAAGGTCTGAAATAACTGCAACTGTCATCTCTGGGCAGTGCAGTAGATCGGCTGCCTGCGCTGAGCAAGTGAACTGATCCTATCCAAACTTCCTTTTCACCCTACAAGAAATCCAGAATTGTGGGGGCCAGTTTTCCTACAGCTTTTTGATCTCAAAGTTTCACTGTTCTCCAGATGACTCCAGGAGCGTGAAGAACAGCCAGCACAGAAGGACGTGGAACAGCAGGCTGCGAGTTCTACAGCTGGTAGGATACCTCAGTGCTTCCCACAAAGAACGTGACCCGCATCGGGCAGCGCCTGGCAAAGCTCTTCAAACAGTTCCACGGGCTTTGGTTACCCTGGCAAGGGCAGACAAGCACCCAAAGCCTCTTGTCACAAACTGGTAGTGAGGCGCAAGAGACCACTGAGACTGAAAGCCCACTTCAAAAACTGATCCCACTACTTAGGGGTCCCCTCAAAGGTAAATCAATCTAACAACAAATTGCCAATACATACACTCTAACAGCAATTCAGTGAAAGAAACTGGATCTCTTATTCAAACTTTCTCCCTGCTGGAGCTCCAAGCAGGATAAACAGAGGTTGAACACCTGTCTATGTATTCTGCTGTCAGAAATTACAAAGGAACAGGAAGGAATTAAGTACTTCATTAAACCTCAAGATTTGCTCACTTTTTTTTTTTTTTTTTTAAAAAATAATTTTTCCCCTTTGGGATCTTGCCCAAAAAATCCGTAGTTTTTTTTTCCTGCACTTTTTTTTTTTCCACATTTGTTTCAAATATCAAATCTGATTTCCTTTTCTTCCTTCACCTGAGAAATTGACCACGAGTGAACAGAATTAAGCCCCAACTTATTGTACAGAAGAGGTGCATCACCAGAAAGAGCATCAAGTTCTAAGCTGGAGAAAATGCATCCATCGTATCTCACCAGACAAGCGGGAAAATTTGTCTTCCCATTCCATTTAGTTTTACTCCCTCCTGCACACACCAGCACCAGGAGGGAACAATGGCCCGTTTACCACAACCAACTCACTAGAAAATTACCAGAAACTTCCAAGAGCGCTCCATGCCTCGCCTCTGCCGGCTGCGCTGGGACCAAACCCAACCCAAACTGCTACGCTATCCATAAAACAGACCCTGAACAGCACAGCACTCCTATGGCACACTAACCATCACGTCTGTGACTCTGACCCGTAAACAGTCTGTACATACACAGCATGCTCCTTCAGTCTTCATTCATTCAAAAATAAGTAAATGAATAAAATCGTTAAGGCTTATTACTTCACGGATTGGAAGCAGACGCCGTAAGGATTTGTAAACCGGCGATACGCTTTCCTTCCCACACAGGCAGAGAAAGTCAAGGGCTGAGGTACAACCGAAGCGCACCGCCTCCTAACAGGCGCACAAAGTCAGCTCCTGCCCGAGGCAGCGAAACAAGCGGCACAGGCGGTACCGGCCCGCACGGCCGCCGGAGTTCCGAGAGCAACGAAAGGAACGGCGGGGCGGCCCGGCCCAGGACCTCCGCCCGGAGTGGCGCAGCGCCGGCCCTGCCGCGGCCGTTTGTCTCGCGAGCCCGACGGAGCGGCCGGGGTGGCGGCCGAGGCCCGCGCGCGGCGACCCGACGCCCGCCCGGCAGCCGGGGAATCGCTTCGCGGGGCGGGGAGCTCCGGGCGCGGGCCCGTCGGCGCACGCGGCTCGGCGGCCGACCGCGGCCCAAAGCGGCCGAGACCTTTGCGGGCTGGCGGGCCGCGGCGCAGGGGCAGAGCGCGGAGCCCTACCGAGGCGGGCAGCGACACGCCGT